CTGCCTGGACGCACGGCTGCTCCTCCACGGTGAGGCTCTCGTGGACAGTGCTCGAGGAGCCTCTGGGAAGGAAAGAGCCCAGACCTCCGACGTCGCGACGCTTTGCACGCGTGGCCTCTGGATAGTTCGACCGCTTCCAGGGGGCTCGGCCCCTGGGACACGACATGTGGTAGGTGGGTCTGGCTTGTTCATCCAAGATTGTTCTCTCACGCCCCCCAGGCATGAGCACGCACCCCCGGCGCCGAAAATGAGAGCCTCCGTCCTGATCTGCTCGAGACGCTGGAAGTATAGGATGAGGACGCGGAAGGGGCGCCAGGATACAGGGCGGCGTAACATTCATCCTGGATCGTCGATCTCCCATTGTCTGCACGGTTCCCCCCAGGGCCAGAGGCGGCCCGAGGAGGAGGAGGAGGAGGAGGAGAGGGGAGGAGGAGTAGTAGGAGGGATAGGAGGAGGAGGAGGAGGGGAGGAGGAGAGAGGAGAGGGAGAGGGAGAGGGAGAGGGAGGGGAGGGGGAGGGGGAGGGGGAGGGGGAGGAGGTGAGGGGGGAGGGGGGAGGGGCCAGGGGGAGGGGGAGGAGAGGAGAGGAGGAGGAAGGAGGAGGAGGAGGAGGAGGAGGAGGAGGAGTAGGGGAGGAGGGAGGAGGAGGAGGAGGAGGAGGAGGAGTGCCCCTCGGAGGGGGGCGGGAGCTCGGCACAGCTGGAAGCCGAAGGTACAGCACACAGAGGTGTAGCGTTAAGTCGGGCCTGTCCCTCTACAGGGGGAGTATTCAAAAATAGGATAGCAATAGTCTGGGGACGATTTGTTTTATTATTTTTTTTGCGTATTTGTTGGGTTTCTCTTCGGGGGGTATTTTTTGATTTTTCGTTCCAAATCTGGCTGTAGGGGGACACGCCCGACCTAAGTGTAGCGTGAAGCGCTAGCGTCTTCTTCGGCGGAGGCTGGCCGAACTGAAGCGGCGGCGGGCCCCTCTCGCGGAGGGGGCGGGAGCTCGTCACAGGAAATGGCGGACGCGAAAATCAGAGACAAGCTTTTGGGATCTGGGGGTCCCAGAGTCGGCCGAGTGGCACGGGCCCGATTGGCAGGCTCGGTGTGCAGCGGACCGTTGGGCGGCGCGAGGCCGCAGAGGCCGGCGAAGTCGAGTTTAAGAGGAGGAGGAGGAGGAGGAGGAGGAGGAGGAGGAGGAGGAGGAGGAGGAGGAGGAGGAGGAGGACGAGGAGGAGGAGGACGACGACGACGACGAAGACTGTGGCGACGGCGACGACAAAGCGACGGCGAGCGGACGACGACGGCGGCGACGGTGACGGCGGCGGCGTCGGCGACGATGAACGTCGCCGACGAGCCTTCGACGACGGCCGCGACGGCGGCGGCTGCAACGGCTCGCCTCGCCGGCGAGCCAGCGACGACCGCGGCGACGGCGAGCCGTCTATGGTGGCGGCGACGACGGCGGCGGCGACGGACGAGCCGTCGACGACGGCGCCGGCCACGACGATGACGAGCTGTCGCCGACGTGACGTCGACGACGGCGTCGGGGCGCTGGGGCGCTGGCGGCGCGGCCGAGGCTGTGGCACCCGCTGCGACACGGCGGACCCCGCCGCGCCTCGCCGCGCCGCGCCGCGCCGACGCCGCCGCCGCCGCCGCGCCGCTGCCGCCGCCGCCGCCGCCGACGACGACAACGACGACGACGACGACGAGGTAATTTTGATGACGAGGTTGACGAGGTCAACGACGATGAGATCGATCATCGGGCGGGTCGAGGTTCGGGGAGCAAAGTTTTGGGATCGAATTTTCGAGGATCGAGATTTCGGGGATCGAAGTTTCGGGGATCTGTCTTCGGTTTTCGAGGTTCGATGGTCGAATTCTCGGGGGTCAAGATTTTGGGATCGTCTTTTCGAGAACTGATTTTTGAGGATCGAGGCTCGGGGATCGATGCTTGAGGATCGGATCTTCGAGGATCTAGGCTGGTCGATCTACAATTCGAGGATCGAGACTCCGAGGCTCGAGGCTTCCTCCGGCACTTCCGCGCCTACCTGGGTCTTTTTCGGGCGACCGCGCCGCCCAGGAGGAGGAGGAGGACCAGTGCAAACCCAAGACCCATCAACGATGTCGGGAGAAACCCTCCCTCCAGGCTCCCTCTTCGTAGGCTCCAAACCATAGACCAGAGCTGAGGTGAGCCCATGAAGTTCGAGTTCCGATCACCCAGAGATCCGTTGGCGTCATTTTCTCATACGGGGTCCCCGGAAGTCTCGACCCATTCCCCAGCGCCGGTTTTTCACCCTGAGTCGTTTTTGGACGGGCCCGGGGCCCCGGCGAGGGCCCCCGAAGGCCGTAAATTGCGAAAGCCTTCCGTCTTGATTTTGTTCAATACGTTGGATCTTTTGGCAAGGAGCTCCGAGTCCCGGGCCACGGCCCTGCGCGCAGGCCGCCGGCCGGCCCGTCCCCCCTCCGGGCGGGACGTCTCCGCGCATCCGCTCCACTGGAGGAAGTGCCCCGTTGGCAGACGACCGCTTGAACTCCAGTTACCAGCTGGAAACATGTCCCTATCCCTATGTTTGGCATCACCTTACCTCGGTGCTGATCTTAAGGATTCCCTCAGTTTCTGAGGGCACATCCCTAAGATTGTCATCGCCTTGGGCTTGCCGATCTTAGGGATAGGGATAGGTTCGGTGCTGGTCATCCAACGCCACGAATCAACTTGACTGTTGCGTCTTGACGATCCCTGAATCGTGCCAGGGCAACATTTCTGGGACCTCCACACCGCCAATCAATGTAGCAGTTGCGCCTTGACACTCTGGAGCCGCTCCATAACACCGTTTCTAGTACGGCAGCCATGCGAAGCCGTGAGCCTCTTGTATTTCTTAAACGAGCGTGCAGGGCGATAAGGCGAGAGCCACGTTCCGAAAAGGAACCGCCATCAGTACGCGAAGCTCTTGTGCCTTCGTTAGGAGGAGTGCGCGCGGCACTAAGGCGAAAGCCACACCCTGGAAGCGGCCCGCCCTCAATCCGTGATGATCTTGCAGTTGTGTCACACGAGTGTGCACGGCACTGAGGGGAGAGCCACATTTTGAACAGGAGGCGCCCTCAATCCGTGAAGCCCTCGCAGTTCTGTAAGACGAACGTGCACGGCGCCAGAGCGAGAACCACATTTTGTAGGCCGCCCCGCCCTGAATCCGTGAAGCTCTTGCACATGTGTAAGACAAGTGTGCGCGGCTCTGGGGCGAGAGCCACCTTTTGGAAGCGGCCCGCCCTCCATCCGGGAAGCTCTTGCAGATGTGGAGGGCACCTGTGCGCCGCGCGGAGGGGGAGAGCCACATGTTGGAAGCGGCCCGCCCTCCATCCGTGAAGCTCTTGCACTGTTTCCAACGAGTGTGCGCGGCGTTGGGGCGAGAGCCACACTTTGGAACGGGCCCGCCCCCCCAGCCGTGCAGCTCGGGCACACTTGCCAGACAGGCGTGGGCGGCGCCAAGGCGAGAGCCACCTTTTGGAAGCGGCCCGCCCTCCATCCGGGAAGCTCTTGCAAGTCTTAAGACGTACGCGCGGCGCGGAGGGGAGAGCCACGTGTTGGAAGCGGCCCGCCCTCCATCCGTGAAGCTCCTTGCAACTCTGTAAGACGAGTGTGCGCGGCGCTGAGGCGAGAACCACATCTTGGAAGTGGCCAGCCATCAATCCGTGAAGGCTTTGCATGTGAAAAACCAACGAGCGCGGCGCTACGGCAAGAGCCACATATTGGGAGCGGCCCGCGCTCCATCCGTGAAGCTGTTTCGAAGGTTGAAGCTTTAGGATCATAAATGGCCAGGAAGTCTCTGGCGAAACGCCCGGGCCGCCTTTTCGACCCGCTTCGGGGGGCGACAGGGAGGAGTCATTTATTAGGAAAGGAATTGAGGAGGAGGGGGAGGACGACGAGCTCGAGGTTCGAGCTTCGTTGTTTGGCTTATTTAGTGCTTTGCCTTCTCGGGTCGCCCTGGTCGCCCTGGCTGGATCCGCATCGAGATTCTGGCCAGACCGCACGCGAGGAGAGGTCTGAGGGCTGCTGTCGTCACGCGACGGATCCAGATGCACCTTTGAGTGAACTGATCACCGTATGACGCATGATGGTTGCACTTTTTTGGCCGCCCAGACAAGCACGGCGTTTGCCAAGAGCTCTGCCTCGGGCCACCCATCCTGTTTGGTCTCGAGTGACCCGCCCGCCGGTGACTTACCAGCAGCCCACCAGACGTTGACGGTCTGGGGGTCGATGGAGCGTGTGAGAAAATCGCGTCAAACCTCCGTCGCAGAAGTCGTGACGGCCCAGGGGTGGACCTAAACAGTGTTTGGGCGATTTCGTGGGCCGTTTTCATTTCGATTTCGTTCTGCGGTAAGGGCGAATCGAAGACAACACGAGGGAAAACGAAAACAAAACGAAAACGAAAAACACCGTTTAGGTTCAGCCCTGTGACGGCCCGTTGTTTTTGAGAGTCGGCATTCTTAGGGCCCCCCCTTCGGGGCACGGGGGCCCTCAAACTCACGGCCCGTGAGGTGAGCACAAAAGGTCCCCGGGGTGGGGCCCAGAGGTCCAGGGGCCCACGTCAAGACAAACATCGAGTCGTCGGTTTGGGCACGGGGAGGAGGATGAGGAGAAGGAGGAGGAGGAGGAGGAGGAGGAGGAGGAAGAGGAGGAGGAGGAGAAGGGGGGGGAGGAGGAGGAGGGGGAGGAGGAGGAGGAGGAGGAGGAGAAAGGGAGGAGGATGAGAGGAGGAGGAGGAGGAGGAGGAGGAGGACGATGGATATGACGAAGACGTCGACCCTCACATTCGACTTCACAATGCATTGGTCATGTGGGCTTTTTGAGGCTCGCGACCCCATGGGACCATCTGTTTGTTACAGCAGGCAGTGTTTGACCGTCCCGTCGCCCGCCAAGTGGGCCTCTCTTCTCTTTCCCACGTCTTCTTCTCCTCATTCTATATGGAGGCGACAGTGACGACGACGCCGTCGACGACGCCGACCTTGATAACGACGCCGCCGACCTCGACGACGACGGTAGCAGACGTAGCAGACGCGGCGGTGGCAACACCGCCGCCGCCGAGGGCCTCCGAGGGCCGCCCAGGGCTTCCGAAGGCCTCCAAGAGCCGCCGAAGCCCTCCGAGGGCCTCCGAGGGTCTCCGAGGGCCGCCGCCGAGGGCCACCGCGGGCAGTCCCCGAGGGGGCTGATGCCGAGCGGCCCGCCGGAGGGCCGCCGGGGGGGGGGGGGGGGGGGGGGGGCGCCCGGCGGAGGGGCCGCTGGCAGCATGACCCCCCCCCCCCCCTTCCTCGCCGGGCGGCAGGAGTCGCAGCGCATCCCGAGCGGCGGGTCGGCCCTGTGGCGGAGGCGCGGGTCCCGCCGCGCGGGGTTCGACGGCGGCGACGCCGGCGGCGGCAGCGGCGGCGGCGGCGGCGTCGGCGGCGTTGACGTCGGCGGCGATTCGCCGCCTCGCCGTGTTCGCCGTGTGGGCCTCGAGGATAGAGGTTCGGAGGCTTGGGTTTTTTTTGTCATCGTCGTCGCCTCCTCCGCCGTCGCGCGTCCCTGGCCCAGGGTGTCTCCAGCTCCTCGCCCCATTCCCACCCATCCTGTGGGGTTGGGCCGTCGTTTTGAATTCGCATCGCCTCGTGTCTCCTTCCTCCTCCTTCTCTCCTCTCCTCCTCCATTCTCCCATGAGGAGGAGGAGGAGGCGGAGGAGGAGGAGGAGGCGGAGGAAGAGGAGGAGGAGGGGGCATCGATGCCCTGTTTCGCTGTTCTCTCTGGGGGCGCACCCCTCGCGAGGATCGTGGCCCGCAGGGAGAGCCGCCGCAGGGGCCTCAGCTGCAGGGTCCGGCGTGCGTCCGCCTGCCCATCTCGGCACGCCCTTCCACGAGGACCGTGGCCTCGCGGGGAGCTCCACCGAAGGCGCCAGCGGCAGGGTCCGCATGGCGCCGCCTGCGCCGGGACGTGCGCCCAATCCGTCTTGTTGCTCGTCCTCGCTCTTCTGCTCGCTCGCCTCGCGGCACTCGCAGCTGCACACGGCTGGGCCCTTCGCCAGGGCAGTTCCCACAACGTCCGGCGGTGTCGGGTGCTCGTCTTGAGGAGAGCGCCCCGCGTCTCCTATTCGTCCTCTCCTCCCTCCTCCCATCCCTGCCTCTGCTCCTTCGCGTGTCGACCCGTTCGGCACACCCCTCACACGCTCCGTGGCCCCCCAGGGCGCTCCACCGAAGGCCCCAGTGGCAAAGTCGACCTGCGGTTCCCTGCCCCATTTCGGCGCACCCCTCAAACGTTTCGTGAGCCCCACAGGGAGCTCCACAGAAGGCCCCAGTGGCAAAGTTCGCATGCGGTTCCCCGCCCATCTCGGCACGTCCCACACACGTTTCGCGGCCCCATGGGAAGCTCCACCGAAGGCCCCAGTGGCAACGTCCACATGCGGTTCCCCGCCCAATTTCGGCACGCCCCTCAAACGTTTCGCGGCCCCATGGGGAGCTCCACCGAAGGCCCCAGTGGCAACGTCCACACGCGGTTCCCCGCACAGTTTCGGCACACCCCTCAAACGTTTCGCGGCCCCATGGGGAGCTCCACCGAAGGCCCCAGTGGCAACGTCCACATGCGGTTCCCCGCCCAATTTCGGCACGCACGTCCCACACACGTTTCGCGGCCCCATGGGGAGCTCCACCGAACGCCCCAGTGGCAACGTCCACATGCGGTTCACCGTCCATTTCGGCACGCCTCTCACACGTCCCGTGGTCCCACGGGGAGCTCTCCACCGACGGCCCCAGGCTCCAACGGCAATGCCCGCATGCGGTTTCCAGCCCATTTCGGAAGGTCCCTAACACGTTTCGCGGCCCTGTAATTAGGGAGCTCCACCGAAGGCCCCAGTGGCACAGTTCGCATGCGGTTCCCCGCCTATGTCGGTAGGTCCCTCGCACGTTCCGTGGCCCCATAGAAAGCTCCACCGAAGGCTCGGTGGTAATGTCCACATGCGGCTCCTCGCCTATGTCGGCATGTTTTTCACACGCCTCGTGGCGCCATATGAAGCTCCACATAGGGAGCTCCACCGACGGCCCCAGTGGCAGGGCCCACATACGGTTCCCCGCCAATTTCGGCACACCACTCACACTCTTCGTGACCCCATAGGGAGCTCCACCGAATGCCCTAGTGGCAAAGTTCGCATGGTGTCCCCCGCCCATTTCGGCACCCTTCTCACACGTTTGGCGGCACCATATGAAGCCCTACCGAATGCCCCAGTGGCAACGTCCACATGCGGTTCCCCGCCCAATTTCGGCACACCCCTGAAAAGTTTCGCGGCGCAATGGGGAGCTCCACCGAATGACTCAGTGACAAAGTTCGCATGCGGTATCCCGCCCATGTCGGGACCCCCCTCACACGTTTCGCGGCCTCATGGGAAGTACCACCGCAGGTCCCAGTGGCAAAGTTCACATGTTGTTCCCTGCCCATTTCTGCAACCCCTCCGGCGTTTCGTGCCCCCATCATAGGGAGCTCCACCGACGGCCCCAGTGGCACCGTCCACATGCGGCTCCTCGCCCATGTCGGCACACCCCTCACACGTTTCATGGCCCCGTAGGGAGCTCCACCGAAGGCCCCAGTGGCAAAGTTCGCATGCGGTACCCCGTTCATGTCGGCACGTTCCTCACACGCTTCGTGGCCCATATGAAGCTCCACCGAAGGCCCCAGTGGCAAAGTCCATCTGCGGCTCCCCACAATTTGGGCACACTGGTCACACGTTTCGTGGCCCCGTAGGGAGCTCCCCCGAAGGCGCCAGTGGCAGTGCCCACATGCGGTTCCCCGCCCATTTCGGCACACCCCTCACACGTTTGGTGGGCCCACAGGGAGCTCCACCTCCACCGAAGTTCCCAGTGGCAGGTTCAACATGCGGTCCTTCGCCAATATGGTCACACCCCTCACACGTTTCGTGGCCCAATCGGGAGCTCCACCAGAGGCCCCAGTAGCACGGTCCACACGCCGTTCCCCGCCCACAGCGGTGCCCCCACCGCGGCACTGACAACTGCATGTGGGTGGGTCTATCGCCACGATAACTTTTGTTGGAGTCCTTGGGGACCTCTGGGCCTTTGGAGGTAGTGGGCCTTTCGAGTCCCTGGGGACCTCTGGCCTTCTGGGCTCTCTGCGCAGCCTGGGGCCGATGTGCCCGCTGGCCCACGTCATGGTCACCCATGCACGGGGCCGTTTTGCCTTTGTGCAAGTGGCCCGCCCCCCCCCAAAACAAACAAGTTTGAGGTAGTGGGGGCCTCCTTGGACATCGTGCGGCACCTTGGGCCAGGGACATCCTTGGCAACACCTGGGGAACAGAGAGCGAGAGAGAGAGAGAGAGAGAGAAAAAGAAGTCGGCTTGCCGCGGCGACTGTGCCGTCGCCCGCCCGCCGCCGGGTGACGATCGGGGATCCAGGATCCGAAGCTCTTGGAGTGTTGTTCGACGCCTTGTAAGGTGCGAGGCCTTTCGTTCCTCCTCCTTCTCCTCCTCCTCCTCCTCCTCCTCCTCCTCCTCCGCCCCCCCTCCTCGTTCTCCTCCTCCTTCTCCTCTTCCTCCTGCGCCTCCTCCTCTTTCTCCTTCTCCTCGTCCGCCCCACCTCCTCTTCCTCCTCGTCCTCCTCCTCCTCCTTCTCCCCCTCCTCCTCCTTCTCCTCCTTCTCCTCCTCCTCTCCTCCTCCTCCTCCTTCTCCTCCTCCTCCGTCTCCTCCTCCTCCTTCTCCTCCTCCTCCTCCTCCTCCTTTTCCTCCTTCTCCTTCTCCTCCTCCTCCTCCTTCTTTCCCCCCCTCCTCACCGTAGCCATTTTGGCTCAAGCCATTTTTGCTCAAGCGGTTGCATGGCCTCGCCCGCGCGCGCCCCCTCCTCGGCGACGCGCGGCTGCGGAATGTCGGGGCCTAGAGGGGTTCCCTAGGCCCAGCTCGGCGCCTCCCTGGTCGAGGCCGCCGTCCGGGCCGCGGTCGCCGCGGGGGCGCCGCGGCGCACTGTCGCCGCCGTCGCGCGGTCGGCTATCTCCGCCACGCTTTTTGCGTGCGGGGACGCGCCGACGGCGGCGGCCGCGCGTGACGCTGCTGCTGCCCCTGATGCTCGCGCGCCTCCTGCTGCACCGCCTGCCGCCTCTGCGGCCAAGGCGGAGCGGCGGAGGCGCAGACGCCGCCGCCTCGCGGAGCGGCGTGCCGCGGAGGCGCTCCCTGCTGCTGGCGCGGCGGTCGAGGGCGCCGCAGTCGTGACGGGTCCTGCTACTGATACTGGAGCGGGCCCTCGGCCTGTTCGAGCCGCCGTGGAGGCCGCTGACGACAACGCGATGTTCGAATACGCCTGGGCCGACGGCCTGGTGCGGCCTTCGCCACCCACTGCGGCGGAGCAGCCTGCTGCTGCTGCCGCCGCTTCAGGCGGGCCGCCGCCCTCGCCTGCTGCTGCCGCGGGCTCGCAGGTCGAGGGCGTCGTGGCCCCGTCCTCGCCCCTGCAGGACGACAGCTGGGCCGACCTGCTCCCCGCGCGCCGCGCAACGCCCGCCGTGGAGGCGGTGCACCTTGCCGCGGCGGTTCCTGGTGGAGCTGCTGTTGCTGGGGCTGCCGCTGCTGCCCCCCCCCGACGGCCGTCTCGCGGACGTCGTGGAGGATGAGGAGTGGCGGCGGGCGCTGCGCGTGCGGGCGGCGGCGATCATCCGAGGCGCAGTGTGATCGTCGTCCTTCTCACTGCCCAGTGGTGTCCTCGCCCCCTGTCGCACGGCCGTGGGGTGATGTCTCCCCTGCGGTGACTGTTGCTCAGGGGGCCGCCAACCTTTCTGTACAGGTTGCGCGGCAGGCACGGGGGAGGAATTTCCCTCCCCGACCGTATGCCCTGCTGAGGCGTTGGATTGTTTTTTCTCTTGCGCTGGCCACGGGGCGGTCGCCCGTCGTGTGGCCTGTGCCTCCTGGCCCATGAGGCTGCTGTTGGTTCTCTTTCGGTCAGTGAGGTCTCCCTCACTGCCAGCAGTGGTTTCCAAGCCGCCGCTGCTGTGTCTTTTTCACTAAGGCTGCGCGGGCGTTGAGCTCAACAAAATGTTCCCCGCTCCTCCCCCTCCCTCGCCTCTGCAGGGAGAGGTCGCCTCTCCCGCGGCGACCGCGCCGTCGCCCGCCGCCAGAGCCTGTCGCGTGCGCAGGGATGGGGGGTCGAGGGTTGAGAATGCGGAGGAGGATCGAGGAGAGTTTTTCCCGCGTGCGGCTTCTGGAGACTCCGAGATCTTGGCCATTTGATTTTTTCGAGCCGGGCGTTTTCGCTCAACTTCAGGCCCCGCGACCCTCGCAGATCGATCCGGCCTGAAAAATGACGCAGGAAGATGGTGTCCGGGGGTCTGGTCGTGATTTGTTTGCGATGTTGCA